TTTTTTTTTTTTTTTTTTTTTTTAATAAATAAAATAAAATAAAAAAATATTTTTAAATACATTTAATTTCTATAATCACATAAACTTTCTCATTTAATCTCTATAATTTAAAAACATTTCATTCTAGATTCAATGCATACAATTCTGTTTTCTTTTTTAATGCATGTAATTTCCAAAATTTTACTTTTTTTTCTTATAAAAAAATTAACAATTAAAACTAAAATAATTAAAAATTAAAATAAAATATTTCTAATTATAAGAACTGAAATGTAAAACTCATGAAATTATAAAAAAAAGTAAAAAAAAAACTATTTCAGCTACACAATAAATATAGTTACTTCAATTTCAAATATATATATATATATAATCACTTATGTTAATTTTTTTCTTTAATAATATCCTCTAATCAATAGTTAAAGACTAGTTTCTTTTCAAATATAAATATTAGTGAAGTAAATTTAGGTTTAAACCTTTTGTTTTGTTTTACATCTTAAATTAATTTAGTTCAGTTAAAAAATAAGCAAAATCTTATTAAAGATTATTTTGTTAAGAATGGAACTTTAACATTGTCCAAACAATTTGACTTTGAATTCAACATATTAATTACATTTGACTTTGAATTCAACATATTAATTACTTGTGTTCAATTTCTTAATTAAATCTCTTTAATAAGACTTTAAATTTGAATTATAAATAAAAAATGTTATTAGAAACAAAGACTCTAATAAAATTATTATGTAATAAATAATTATTGACAAAATCAATCAATGTTTAATAACAAGATTGTGGTTACATAAAAATATAAAAAAAAATATTTATTTTATTTTATTTTATAATATTATTTCTAAAATAATTGTTTATTTAATTAAGATTATATTTTTAGTAATTCATTTTTTATTTATTGAAAGATAATATAAGAAAATAAGTTATTTTTAAATAAAATTATTAAAATTAAATGATATTAATTAATATCACTAACTAGCATAAATTAATATATATATATATATTTAATAAAATTATTAAATTAAATGATATTATTGAACGGTGTAACACTTAATAAAAGTTACACCGGTGTCGTTTGAATCCTTCTCTCTATATATATATATATATATTCTCAAATATTGAAGGAATGTAACTCCAAGCGTGTGGTTCAGTGGTAGGGATTGATCCACGCTTAAGCAAGGTCAGGAGTTCGAATCCTACCTTGTGTATGCAACTGCATTAAATCTTGAGTCCAACCTAGCAAGGAGATTAGTCACTCCTATCGGCCCTGAATATTGAAGGAATGTTATATAACTACTTTTTAGGATTTAATTGGCAATGCCAACAAAGGATGATTTTTATATTATTTTATTTCGGGATTTTTAATAATAAATGATTAATTAATTTATTAAATTAAAAATAATTAATTTATTTTGAATTTGTCTTATATTTATACGATTTTTAAAATTATCCTTAATATTAATCAAACATGTTTTTATTTTTTCTAAAACATTTTTATTGAAGTTAATTATTTTAATCTCTCATTAATAATGTATTCATTACTTTGATTTTTACTCACGAATCGCAATATATTTGAATTAACAAAGTAAAGTTTTAAAATTCGTAAAAAAAAGGTTAGACTTTCACAAAACCTAAATATATTAATATATCTGTTAATTTTTATGGTTCAAGTTTTACACGTTAAAATTATGATAGCTGAACCAATGACAATATCGTTAGATTTATACTCTTATTTTGATTAGTTTTATTTATTTACTCTTATTTGGGTTCTTTAAAGTGCTTCCCAACCCAATGTGTTGCGAGCATAACGTGCAGGGGAATTTTATGCAGCCCAAAGTGTTGGGCCATGTTATTCCAATGTCCCCACACTATATTGTTGAACTTGTACCCCTCACACCAATCAATCCAACGGATACAATTTAAACAAGCTATCTAAGCCGTTGGATAACATCTAATTCGGGTGCACCTAATTTGGGCCAAATTCTTCGCAGCCCAACAGAAATTAAGAACCGTAACAGCCACCCTGGTGGGCCACACGGCAGTGCCAGCCCAGTAAAGAAGAAGAGCAAACACATGATATATGTATGAAGTATTTAACATTAAAAATAGTGATTAATCAAAGATGTGAACACACAATACATATCTCACCTACCATAATTTATTCCACAACAACATATAAATATTGTTACGAAATATATTACTTCATCAATATATTTAATATAGTATATAGGTATGTGAATGTTAATCTATAACTTGGGTGGGAAGTTTATAGTTTTCTGTAAATATATATATATATATAGAGAGGGAGGTTATAATTATATTGGTGTAATTTTTACCAAGTGTTATACTACTCAATAACTTTATATTAAATGTGAATTTTGTAAATTTAACCGTTAGATTGAAAGTTCATATCACTTTATATGTATATATATCAAATTTTGTTAAAATTGAACAACAACTTGAAAATGATCAAAGTGTTCATATTTTAGTATATTTTGAAATGAATATATTACGTCAATTTTGTTTTATAAAAATGTAGTATCAAATCATTTTGGATTAATATAAAATTTTGTATATATGATTTAAGAAATATGAACTTTCAATCTAACAGTTGAATTTACAGAATTCGCATTTAATACCAAGTTATTGAACGGTATAATACTTAATAAAAGTCACACTAGTGTTATTATAACCCCACACACACATTACATTAATGTATGGGTAATAGTTTTGTGACATGTAATGTATCAAGAAAGTCGTTTGTGTGTTTTAGTTTTTTTTATTCATCAAAATTTATTTGATTGATTATAAATATTTTTAAAAATAAATATATTTTTTTATAAAAAATATTTTTATATTTGATTTTAATAAAATTTATCCATAAATTTTATATAGCTGTATTAAATTTATTTAGAAAATAATAGTATTATTATCATAATAAATTTTTTCTCTCAACTCAACACAATTAATCTTTCATCTCATTGATTTGAACTTTTTCTTTGAGGAATTTTTTTAAACAAGGTTTACAATGCTAATTTTTAAACAATAGATCAAAAATAAAAATGAAACTAAATTTCTTTTCTCTTTCCTTCATTCTCCTACATTCACACAAATTAAACCCTAATATATTAAGGTCTCAAGAAACTTGAGGTCTCAAAGTTTTGAGACTAATCACGATGAAGTCAAAATATACTTTCACCAATACTGTGATATAAAATGAACAATTAATCAAAATGAAAAATAAATATTTACAACATATATGTAAAGCATAAGGATAGTTACACACACATACATACATCATAATTATATTTACAACTTTATATTAATCCTCATCCACACATCCAATGCAACATTCTCTTATTAACACATTGGTAATATATTCGTTCATCATCAAAAATCAACATATTACATACTTCGATCACTCACAATTATCAATATAAAGACTTGCGCAAATGTATGTGTCCGACTCAACATGCATGTGATACCAAACCACCCCATCTATGATGTAGGAACCACCCATCTGTGGTGATCCCCTTAAACCACCCTCTTCCCGGGGATGTTTATCAGGATTCTGTCAAAGTGTTACAGTTGGTCTTGTTTATCTCTCGTTCTTATTAGAGGTTTCTCACAATAACACTCCCAAAGACATATAGGTAGATAACCTATGAAAGCTCACATGCATAGACTCACATTATTATGCAAATAAAGTATGTATGCATGGACGCTAACAATCATGTCACAACATTACAAATATGTAACAACTATCTTCCTCATTTGTTAGCTTGCAACATTGGACTTGACCACTACATCTCTTCATATTACTCATAGTAATTCAACAAATCATGCATCAATATAATTTCCCATATAGCAACATTAATACATACACACCAAAATATATCATTCACCTAACTTCTTACACATTCTTAGATAGTTTTCAAAAGATGTGTAATATGACTTAACTTACTTTTATTTTTAATAAGCCTTTGGGTTAGGATCGGAGTCCAACCCAATACTCTAATTTACACCCTTTTTATTTTATTTAAATTAAAATATCTCTTCGAAGACAAAAAGACCACACAACTAAAGAGTTAACAAAGATATTCTCAATTTTTAGCAAGAGAATATGCTATTCTACTCTTTTCACAATAAACATGATAGAGAGGCTTCATGACATATATGAGAAGGCTCTTATATACATATAGTGATATACACATTTTTCTTTATACTGCTACAAGTATGTTTAAATTATTGGGCACATATACACACATATATGAGTTTGAGATTATAAATTTGTGACGGTTGAATCATTGAAATATCATACCATTAGTGATTACTACTAAAATTAGATAATATAAACTTGTAAGATTACAATCAACACTTAAACTATATAAGTTTTTTTATATTACATAAAGAAAAAAAAGTTTGTATTCTCTTTGCTTTTTTTTTGTTGTTGTCATGTTAGTCGAAGTTTTTATATTAATTTATTTAACTAAAAAAATGTTTTTTCTTATTTAGTATTTTTTATTTTTACTGTTAAAAGTCACATTCAATATGTCTTTAAATATTTTTTCTCAAGCTTAATTTTTTAATATATTTATCATATTCAGTATTCATTTGCTAAACAATTATTCCATTCAAACATTTTTACCACAATTAATTTAGGATACTTTTTTATTTTATTAAATTAAAACAAAGTTGTTCATTTTTAGTATATTATTTTAACTACTTTTAGTATTTTATATAAAAAAAGTATGCTTAAATAATTTTGATTTTTAAAATTAATTAAAGAAAATTTTTTAAAAAATAAAAATAAAAATAAGGAG